CTGGCAATTCGCAAAAACCCGGAATCCTACGCCGATGCGCCGCGACCCTCGGTCGAAACCCATATGGCACGAGATTCTTTCAATTCGCCCCGATCCGGCCGAGACTCATTTGTATCCGCTCGAGAGGATATTCAAATGACACCAGTCCCCTCTCCGCTCCCCCGACAGACCCTTGAGGTTCCGCTAGATGACGACCAGAAACGCGCCAGAATTTTGATGCAACGCAAGGGAGATGTATTGAACCGCAGCCTCCCGGTCAACGGTGATGCTCGGTTCCACAAGGATCACTGGAAAGACTTGAGAGTCGGCGACTTTGTGCGAATTTACAACGACGATGAGTTGCCAGCCGACATCATCGTATTGTCCACATCTGACCCAGATGGTGCCTGCTACGTCGAAACCAAGAATTTGGACGGCGAGACGAATTTGAAGGTCCGACAAGCCCTGAGGTGTGGCAGATCACTAAAACACGCGAGGGATTGCGAACGAGCTCAATTCTGGATCGAGAGCGAGCCGCCGCAGCCCAATCTATACAAGTATAACGGTGCCATAAGGTGGCACCAAACCTTCGAAGACTCACCCGAGCCTGACTTGATGACCGAACCCATTACGATTGACAACATGCTTCTCCGTGGCTGCAATCTTAGGAACACGGAATGGGCCCTGGGAGTTGTCGTTTTCACAGGACATGACACGAAAATCATGATCAACTCTGGTATTACGCCTAGTAAGCGCCCCAGAATTGCCCGGGAAATGAACTTCAACGTTATTTGCAACTTCGGCATTCTCTTCATCTTGTGTGTCTTGTCAGGCATTATCAACGGCGTCGCATGGGCGAAGACGGATGCGTCCTTACACTTCTTCGATTTCGGGTCGATTGGAGGAACAGCACCCATGTCCGGCTTCATCACATTCTGGGCCGCCATCATTGTGTTCCAGAACTTGATTCCTATTGCTCTTTACATCACTCTCGAAATTGTCCGACTACTACAGGCAATCTTCATTTATAGCGACGTTGAGATGTACTACGAACCACTCGACCAACCCTGTATCCCGAAGTCATGGAACATCTCCGATGATCTTGGCCAGATTGAGTACATCTTCTCCGACAAGACTGGTACATTGACGCAAAACGTGATGGAGTTCAAGAAAGCAACAATCAACGGACGACCATACGGCGAAGCCTACACGGAAGCCCAAGCTGGCATGCAAAAAAGGCTAGGTGTCGACGTGGAGAAAGAGGCTGCCGAAGCCAGAGCCGGAATCGCGGATGCCAAATTACGTGCGATCGACAGCCTCAGAAATCTTCACGACAACCCTTACTTGCATGACTCCGATCTGACTTTCATTGCTCCCGACTACGTCTCTGACTTGGCGGGTGATTCTGGTGATGAACAGCAAGCTGCGAATGAGCACTTCATGCTCTGCCTTGCCCTGTGTCACACCGTCATCGCTGAGAAAATACCCGGATCACCGCCAAAGATGCTTTTCAAGGCGCAGTCACCTGACGAAGCGGCGCTTGTCGCAACAGCCCGCGACATGGGTTTCACGGTGCTTGGTAGCTCTCAGGAGGGTATCAACTTGAACGTGATGGGCGAAGATCGATTCTATCCGATATTGAACACGATCGAGTTCAACTCGACCAGAAAGCGGATGAGTGCGATTGTACGGATGCCCGACAACCGTATTTTGCTCATCTGCAAGGGAGCGGACAGTATCATCTATTCGCGCCTCAAGCGGGGTGAGCAACAAGAGCTTCGCAAACTTACGGCAGAGCACTTGGAAATGTTTGCCCGCGAAGGTTTGAGAACGCTCTGTATTGCGCAGCGAGAACTCACCGAGGACCAGTATGCCAACTGGCGCAAGGAGTACGATGCTGCCGCAGCGGCTCTTGAAAATCGAGAAGAGAAGATGGAGGAGGTAGCGGATCATCTTGAGCGAGAATTGACATTGCTCGGAGGAACTGCTATCGAAGACAGACTGCAAGACGGCGTCCCGGACACCATCGCCCTACTAGGCGACGCAGGCATCAAGCTTTGGGTTCTTACAGGTGACAAGGTCGAGACTGCGATCAACATTGGCTTCTCCTGCAATCTATTGAACAACGACATGGAGCTCATCCACTTACAAGTTGACGAGGACGAAACCGGTGAGACGCCTGACGAACATTTCCTCGACACCCTGGAACAGGAGCTCGACAAGTACCTACAGGACTTCGGCATGAAGGGTGACGACGACGACTTGGCCAAGGCGAGGAAGAACCACGAACCTCCTGGCCCAACACACGGCCTGGTCATTGACGGCTTCTCTCTGAAGTGGGTTCTCCACGATGCTTTGAAGCAAAAGTTTCTGCTTCTCTGCAAGCAGTGCAAGTCAGTTCTTTGCTGCCGAGTCAGTCCTGCACAGAAAGCCGCCGTGGTCAACATGGTGAAGAACGGTCTGGATGTCATGACTCTCTCCATTGGAGACGGCGCCAACGACGTCGCCATGATCCAAGAGGCGGATGTCGGCGTTGGTATCGCTGGTGAGGAAGGCCGACAAGCTGTCATGTCTTCAGACTACGCGATCGCCCAATTCCGCTTCCTGTCGCGGTTGGTTCTTGTTCACGGTCGGTGGTCGTATCGTCGTCTCGCCGAGACCGTGGCCAACTTTTTCTACAAAAACGTTGTGTGGGTGTTTGGTATTTTCTGGTACCAAATCTATTGCGACTTTGACGTTACGTACATCTACGAGTACACGTACATCTTGTTGTTCAACCTCCTCTTCACCTCGGTTCCGGTCGTCGTTCTTGGTGTCCTTGATCAGGATGTTTCGGACAAGGTCTCTCTGGCTGTGCCGCAGCTGTATCGCCGTGGTATCGAACGGGCGGAATGGACGCAGGCCAAATTCTGGTACGTATGGTCACAGCAGTGGCCCCGATGCGATGCTAACTAGGTTCCAGGCTTTACATGCTTGACGGTGTCTACCAATCGGTCATGGTCTTCTACATTCCGTATTTGACAGTGAGCAGCACGAGCTTCGTGACGAAGAACGGTTTGAATATTGAAGACAGAACGCGACTTGGCGCATACATTGCACACCCTGCCGTCTTCGTCATTAATGCATACATTCTCATCAACACATACCGTTGGGACTGGATCATGATCTTGATTGTCGCTCTGAGCGACGTCATGATCTTCATCGTTACCGGCGTCTACACGTCTACCGATGGGTCAATGTTCTTCTACCAAGCCGCCCCGCAGATCTATGCCCAGGCATCATTCTGGGCGGTCTTCTTTATTGTACCGGTCATCAGTCTTTTCCCCCGATTCGCGATCAAGGCGATTCAGAAGGTCTACTTCCCATACGACGTCGACATCATCCGCGAGCAAGAGCGGCAAGGCAAATTCTCTCGTCTCACACAGGGCGACGACGCGACGGTTATGGGGGAGCAGACGGCGAGTAAGACACCGTCGAACTCGTCGGATAGCTCGCGCAAGGGTAAGCATATACACTATGCCAGTGTGGATGAGGACAGAAGGCCAATCTATCCACCTTCAGTTGCAACACACACGACGCACAACCCGCGCAGCCAGAACGGCAGCGATGGCACCAACTATACAGGCCATCGACAATCTATGGACATGATGCAAACGCAGTCCCTCGACATGACACCTCCGATGCGATCGTCCTTCGACCGAAACCGTCCCTCCTACGATCGAGCCCGACCATCCTACGACCGAATGCGAGCTTCGATGGACCGCACGCGGGCCAGTTTCGAGGCCAGTAACGACTTCACCTCGGCCGCTCGCCTCTCTCGGATAGAGTCTAGCCAATCTTACAGCGACCGATTCCATCCCAGACGACTTCGGGGTCTGTCATTGACGAAGAGCGCAAACATGTAGCGGCTGCTCCAGACTCTCGACCTCGACCGAATCGAATTCTCCTTGTATTATATCCGGCCCAACCCTTCCGACAGGGTCTTGTTTCTTTTTGCTGTTTTGTTGATATCCCCCCGATGCATCACGATCTGCATGAGCGATCTACGACATTCCAGCCCTCGCACTCCAGCGACCCGATGCTTTGTCACCCACACACACTGTTACTGCTTTTTTTTTGGTCTCGAAGTGTATTGTGTTCTTCTTGGTCTTTTTATCGTATAGGTATTCCTACTGCGACGGCGTTTAAGGAGGTTTACGGAAAGGAAGTCTCGGACGGCAATTTTTGTGCAAGCTTTTTTGTGCATCCTAGAATTGAGAAGGGGGGCGCCAGGAACCAGTCCATGCTGAAGTGCTGGAAATACTTGTCAGGCCCGAGGGCGTTATGAGTCTGGGCGGACCGAACAAAGTGATGGCGCATGGCTCTCGCGCTGTCGACGCTTTTTTTACATATGCGCGGCAGGGGAAGGGAAAAGATGCAAAAAACAAAACATAATAGGGTTAGCTTGGAGATGAGCCGCAGAGACAGAAGCCAACTGGTATTTGAACTGTTAAAAAGACCAACTTCAACTTTTGTGTTTTTAACGCCTCTAGATTGTGATCCAAGTCAGAGGGAAAAGATGAACACAGAAAGGCCATTCATTATTAGGCTATATCTAGATGAGGAAGTTGTGCGATCCAACTTGTCCCAGGCCCTGCCACTGCTTGTAGTGTCGAAATTGCCAGATGCTCTTCGTAGCATACCTTGGGTGCTTGGATAGTTTTGGGCACTGCGCAGGGACACTGAAAATGTCAGGTACCATCTGTCTTGTCGCTAGCCCTGCAGCCAGCCCCTGCCACATGCAAGTCCCACCTCAGCGAGGGTCCTGGCAAGGAACTCGACCGGGGCAAGCTCCCCCGAGCTCTGCTGATTTTTGGCCAAGAACATCCGATGCGCTGCGACCTTATGAATCGATCCGCTGGAGGGTCTTCATCGTCTGAACAGAGCATATTGCATGACCTCAGTGTCCACGACGGCATAAGCAGAAACTCGCGACAACAAGCACTCCAGAGGTGCGCAATTGGACCCGGAACGACTTCATCATGGACGCACAGCTCTTGGATGAGGTTGCCGACAGGTTCAACGCGTACCTTGAAGCCGTTCCGTAAGCCATCGCTAACCAATGTGGCGTCACTTTCGTGCTTGAGACACCGAAACTAACTCGACGTCCTCGCCACAGGGCCGGATTTCCTCAGTCTATACTCGCTGCGGCAGCTGTTATCCTCAGTATATTCCTCCTGCGACTGGCGCAGAGCTGGAATGAAGACCAGGCTATCGCATACACCGTACCGCCGCCGAAGATTCCGGATGAGCACTCCATTGTCGAGGAGACTAACGTCAAGGTATGACATCTCAATGCTCTGCTTCTAGATGCTACATTCGCTTGGCACGATGGCTGACTTGATCCTCCGGTTCAGATCTCCGGCACGACTGCAATCCAATGTTACGCCCCGGCCACGGGGCAATTCCTCGGCTTCATCAACCCCTCCACCCCTGCCTCCATTGACCGCGCCGTCGACGCTGCCCACGCAGCGCAGAGGAAATGGAAAAAGACGACATTTCGCGAGCGTTGTCAGGTGCTACGCACGATGCTGCAGCACGTTCTCGATAACCAGGAAAATATCTGCCGCGCCGCCTGTCTCGACTCTGGCAAGACCATGGTGGATGCTCAGCTGGGCGAGATCCTTGTGACTGTTGAGAAGCTCACGTGGACGCTTAAACACGGCGAGAAGGCCCTTCGCCCCAGCCCGCGGCCTACGAACCTACTCATGGCATACAAGCGGAATGAAGTGCGGTACGAGCCACTTGGTGTTGTCGGTGCTCTGGTCAGCTGGAATTACCCGTTCCACAACCTCGTCGGGCCCATCATCTCGAGCATCTTTGCTGGAAATGGTGTGCTGGTCAAGGTCTCTGAGCAAACAGCTTGGAGCTCCCAGTACTTTACCAGCATAGCGAGAGGGGCTCTTATCGCTCACGGGCACGACCCCGCCCTGATTCAGACAGTTGTGTGTTGGCCACAGACGGCGAACCACATTACTTCCCATCCCAGGATATCTCACTTGACTTTCATCGGTTCCCGCCCCGTGTGCCTCAAGGTAGCTGCCTCGGCCGCCAAGTCGCTCACACCTCTGATCGCGGAACTGGGCGGCAAGGATCCTTCCATCGTCCTCGACTCCGCCGCGAAGGATTTGAAGCGTATCGTTGAAATCCTCATGCGGGGCACGTTCCAAGCTTCCGGACAAAACTGTATTGGAATTGAGCGTATCATTGCTACGCCGAAGCTTTACGATCAGCTCGTTGCCACCCTGGCGCCAAAGGTCCAGAATCTTCGGCAGGGACCAACTGCAGATGTCGGCGCCATGATCTCGGATGCTGCTTTTGACCGCCTTGAGTCCCTAGTTGATAAGGCAGTCGAGCAGGGAGCCCGTTTGCTCGCCGGTGGCAAACGGTACATCCACCCAGAGCACCCCAAGGGCCACTACTTTGTCCCGACCCTCCTTGTCGACGTTACCCCTGAAATGGAGATCGCGAACGAAGAGTGCTTCGGGCCCGTCATGACCATCATGCGCGCTCCCGGCCCTGACGCAAACTCTGTTTTGTCAGTGGCTAATTCGCCAGAATTCGGCCTCGGTGCCTCCATCTTCGGCGGTGATAACGATCCCGTCCTCCGCGCCGTCGTCGACGGTCTCAACACCGGCATGGTAGCCATCAATGACTTTGGCGCAACCTACGCCGTCCAGCTGCCTTTCGGTGGCGTGGGCGGGTCCGGCTACGGTCGGTTCGCCGGTGAAGAAGGTCTTAGAGGCCTCTGCAACATCAAGAGCATTTGTGTCGACCGCTTCGGCTGGTTGGGCGTCCGCACTGCCATTCCCACGCCTGTCAAGTATCCCGTGCCGGACCAGGAGCGCAGCTGGCGTTTTACTCGAGGTGTCGTGGGCGTGGGTTATGCGCAGAGTTTGGCGGGCAAGCTCAAGGGCATCCTCGATATTATGAGGAATGCTTAATCTTGTAAAAGGAGCCCATCAACGTTGGAGTGAGGGCAAGAAAGGGCAGCTAGCTAGGTGCAGCCTGTATATAATAACAATAACGGAGGAATGAAAAGTAGCGGGTTAGAGGCATAGATACCAAGTTAATCAAAAGCATATAAACTTTCTCTAACTAGATCATATCCTCTACTATTGTGGCGTTGCCATCATCTTCGACCGTGCGATTGAACCTATGGATCATGAGAAGCTTGGGAGCAGGGAAGTTGGAGGACAAGAGGGCCGCATGAGCTGGCAGACAGTAGTGATTCATCGCCTATCTTCACTTCAGCCGATACAGAGGATGTGATCGCCTTGTCCCCTTACTCCCTGCCGGAGACCGTTGTCGGCCAGAGAGACTTGACTTTATAGCATCAGGGAGAAATGAATGGGGATCCTCAAGAACAACATCAGTAAGTCTCAAGGGGTGTGTGAGGTTTGGTATCAAGAGGTATATGATTCATTAGCTGCGATCCTATTCCATTTTGGCAACTCCGTCAAAGCATTCCGAATAGACCGCCCCCAACTTATCTCATCTATCCTCTGCATCATGAACACACTACGCAAAGAACCCAAGCTTTGCTTCTGGAAATGCAGAAGGTATTATCTAATTACCAAGAACCACCACCGCCAGAAGGAGCGCCCCAGGCAGGAGCGGCCGCGGACTCCTTCTCCTGGGTGTCATTGCCGGCAGAATCGCCACCACTGCCGCCACCCCAGCCAGCGTCACCTCCAGTCGCGCCCCAGGCACCATCGCCTCCAGCGACATCGCCGCCGCCGTTGTCCTCGTTGGACCAACCGCCGTCACCGCCAGAGACGCCCAGGTGAGCAATGCCGGCCTCCTCGGGGTCGAAGTCGCTCTCGGTCTCGAATCTGAGGTTCTCCAGGCCCTTACCAGTGGGCTTGAAAGGCTCGAGGAAGTCAGGGATCTCCTGCCCGGTCTCCAGGAGGGTGCGAACGAGAACGCTAGCAATGGGCTCGTCGCGGTCGGTGTAGAAGGAGGTAGCAATGCCTCGCTGGCCCATACGACCGGTGCGGCCTAAAGTCGGTGTTAGTAACATCTCGGGCAACGATGGAAGAGGCGACGGGGTTTGTAGGAAAGGTGAATCAAAGAACGTGTATGGGAAAGCACATTAGTGCAAAATATATATATGCATATATATACTTACCGATTCTGTGGGTGTACTCCTCAATCCCACCGTGATCCAAGCTAGGAAGATCGAAGTTGATGACATGGTTGACATTCTTCACGTCAATACCACGAGCGCTGATACCAGTGGCAATAAGGATGGGGGACTTTCCAGCACGAAAAGCGCGCATGGAAGCCTCACGCTCAAGCTGAGTACGGTCCGAATGCATTGAGGTGCACGGAAAGCCGAGGTTGAACAGGAAGTCATCCAAGGTATCGGCAGTGCGCTTGTTGTTGACGAAGATGATGGTACGGCAGGCAGGAAGAGAGTTGATATGATCCTTGAGAGCCGCATTCTTCTCGTAAGCTTCAACCTTGAAGACCCGCTGGAGGATGTTGGTGTGGGTGCTGCCAATGCGGCCGATATTGATACGGACGCTCGAAGAAGATAAGTTTTCCTTTGCAAGATCGCGGAGAGGCTTGGGGAAGGTGGCTGAGAACAGCATGTACTTGATGTTTCCCTCCTGCTGTTCTAAAGAAAGACTCAGTGAATATTTGGGACACGAATAGGGAGAGGATTGAACTTACCACCGCCAGTCATGATGATGTCCATCTCCTCGCGCCAATCATCTTGAAGCATCTCATCGGCCTCATCGAACACCATGTATCTAAGGCGTTTAAGCGAGAGAACATCGGGCCGCTGAATGAAGTCGACAAGGCGACCAGGGGAGGCGATGAGAACATCACAGCCCTTTCCGAGCTGTTGAATCTGATCCCTCATGGGACCACCGCCGTAAGCGACACACGGGCGAAGCATAGTGCGGTAGCAGAACTTGCGAGACTCGTTGAAGATCTGGATGGCGAGCTCGCGAGTGGGACAGACGACTACCACCAGAGGTTCGGCACGAACCCAGGCCTGTCCAAGTTCAACCTCAGAAGGGTTGGGGCGAGGGGCAGCGAGCTTCTTGGCCTTGCCCATGAGCTTGTTCAAGATAGGAATGAGGTAGGCAGCGGTCTTGCCAGAGCCTTTTTTAAGTAGATTAGCAATGTTAAGCTTGGCTCAAAAATAGAAAAACTTGCCAGTCTGAGCGATAGCCACAACATCGAGACCCTTGTGAATGGCTGGAAGAGTGAACTTCTGGATAGGGGTAGGGGCCTCGTAGCCGCAAAGCGCAATATTCTCCAACATGACAGGGTGCAAGCCGGCGTCCTTGTAGGAGTGAACAGGCTCAACACGAGTGTCACCCTCCTGGGTGACCTCGACTGAAGAGATCCTATATACGGTTAGTTTTGTGCAGACGATTGAAGGGGGGAAGCCTACACAGAGAAGTCGAGGCCAGAATTAGAGTCATGGCGGGTGGCGGGATCACCGAAAAGGGCCTTCTCGAGCTCAGCGAACTTCGGACCGACATCGCCATATTCCTCATCCCATTCATAGACGGCACCGTTGCCCGCCCACTCGGTCGAGACATCGGGACCCTGCTGGGCAAACTCGTCGTAGTTGTAAGGTACAGGCTCAGTCCACTTTGTACCATCGCTGTTGATGGCAGCAGCAGGAGCCTTCTTGTCTGGGTCATCAGAAGGAAGAGCCGACTGCATGTCGGCAGTGTTGAAGGCAGACATCTTGGTTGACGGAAGTCCGCTTGTGTTGGTTAATTTATGGATCATGTGATGATGGCCAGTAGGAGGCAGCTCGGCAGTGCTTACCTTGATTTGCTTGATCGAAAAATGTCTCGAAAATTGCGGTCAAGACTACACGGAGCGACAACCTTGGCGCTGGATGTTTTGGATGAGTTAGTAAACCGCAATGAAAGAAGGAGATGACAGTAATTTTTTTGATGAGGGAAGGAAGCCACTGAAAACCGAGAACGGTTGATGTGGTCACGGCAGGGAATGGGAGATCAAAAGCCTGTCAATTCTCCGAGATGGAAACTGCAAGGAGCTTTGAAGAAGAGATTTCCTCGTAAACCTGCGGTGTCTTTGATGGAGGGAGCAGACCGAGATGAGAGTTGGATGGGAGTGAAGGTGAACCTGATTTTGACGTGAGGAAAATTTGGAGGGTCAGGGCAACGAGATTTGACATTTGTCAACGCGTTCCGCGAGAGAAAGTGATGACGGCGAAATGAAGAACCCACGAGCAAATTTTGCGAAGACACCCGACCCTGACTGCGACAACAGATTGATGATAAGGTGATGATGAAGATAGAAATGGGAATGATGGAAGAGCAGCTCGAATAAATTGGAAAGTACTTACCTCTCAAGTCAAAATGAAGTCGAAAACTGATGTCTTGTCGGTGATCCTTTCTCGAAGGTTTGCGTTGGCTGTGGAGAAGAGGGAGGAAGTTAAGCAGCAGCAGACGAAAAGGAATTAGGTGTAGTGGGAGGGCATTGGAAGGTTCGATGGTGGTCGGCCGTCGAGGAAAGAAGGGACGAGGGCAGAGGGCAGCCGCGTTACTCAAAAGAAGGAAGACACGATGGATGAGACGGGCAGGTGAGACGACTAAGCCCGGATGAGGGTTGAAGTGTGACTGCCTCATGAGTCCCCCCAAACAGGCTGGAGAGCCCCTCTGAAGACTTCACCTTCCAGTTCTGAAGCCTTCATGAGAACTTGCAGACACTGGACGAAGCCTCGTCTGAGCCAGGCACCTGACGGCAAGGGAAAAGTAGACGGAAAGCTTCCTTCTTTGACACTGCTCATATATAATCACATCATCTTGTTCCTCTTTGTACTTCAAGTAAATTATCTAGTTCAAGAAAGAAGAAAGCCAAGAGGAAGACTAGAACCAAGGCTAGAGACAGAGGAAAATATAGCTTCATAAACAATGGTAATATGAGAGATGCCACAGATAAGACTTAATCGTGCTCGTATATTTCTGCTTAGTGTCTTAGACTATGTCAATCCAGTTGGTCCCAATTATAGCATGCCGTCAATGAAGGAGAGCAATCAAGAAGCTGTTTGATAACGCCCTAACATCGGAGATGAAGCTTGATCAGAATTGATCAACTCATAAGCGCGTGATGAAACCAAAAAAAAAAAAAAAAAACACTGATATGACGATTGCCCAGCTTGACTTGGGCACAAGGGAAGTGTCCATCACATTCGATCTAACGTAACTGCAAATGTTGGACAAAGGGGTCTCACCGAGGTGAGATGGGTATCATTAACATATCCCTCTATAAATGGTACACAATACTGCTGATAACGACGCTCGTGGTTATACCACGCGACTCGGACACGAGCCCATGTTGCCCGCCAACTTCCAGCAGCCATGTATATAGTCTTCTCGCGATGAAGCGTAGAAGTGTCCATTCTCCGAAGAATCCTTTTGGCGGATCATCTTGCCTCGACAGAGAACAAAGCCGCTCGGGCTCCTGGCTTCAGTGGTTGCGCCGGTGCCATCTAAAGGAGATTGACAAGGACCTCTAGTGCTCGGGTTGAGAGACTGAATTGGCAATGGTGATCTTGTCCGGGGTGTCCTTGGAATCCCCTGAGATTGTAGACGAATGAAGGTTTGTGGGCCGAATCCTTCACCACAAATCAAGGAGATCTTGAGGCTCAACAGCCGACGTCGCCTCATACCCAATCATACCCTGGGTCAAGGCTTGATCCAATGCAACGGCCGAACGACCGATGGTACCGCCCTCCTTTTTCGACTGCTCCACGCCTCGTTGAAATGAGTCCAGGAACCTCCTGTGGAACACCCGCTGCCGGGACTCGCGGTCATTGTACATCTCCGCTTCCTCATCCCGGCGAGTCCCGAAAAGGTTGAGGTACGCAAAGGGATTCGGCGTCCGGGGCACCCGGTACATATTGTCCGCATAGGCGTTGGGGTTACTCGGCGCCGCGACCTCGGGCTTGAGTCCCGACTGCAGGAACCGGGCCAATACGGCGACCTGCCTCGCGTGCGACTGTGCGTCCTTTGTGCGGAGGCCCGTCTTGGGCGCGGTCGACCACCCCGAGCTCGTCTTCACAGTCCAGCCCATCAACGCGCAGAAGCTGTTGAGGGTCTTTACCCAACCTCCCGGGCAGCTGACGGTCTCGTCTGCCGCGACATCTAGGAGCCACTCAAGAACGGACAGCGAATCATTGCTGATATCGGCGGATAGGTGAGTCATGCCAGCTCGGATGTACATGATGCACTTTTCGGCGTGGTGCTTGACCTCCGCCTCGGGAAGGGCCCGAAACAGCTTCAGCAGCTGGCTGCGAACGGGTCCTGAGGCGTCCGAGATCAGGGGCAGAAGCTTGCCTAGAACGGTGGCGGTTCCGACGGGGTTGTTGCCGGCCAGCACCTGGCTCGTCAGATGCGCCAGCGACTCCTTGCGCTGTTTGTCTGCTCGTGATGTCGAGGCCAGCGAGAGGTTGTGTTTAAACTGAGTGGCGTTGTCAGGGGCTTCAGTTGAGAGTTTCTGGTGGCCCATGGCAATAGACTTTGCCTTGAAGCTGGTGTCTGTGAAGTTGGAAGGCTTAGCCTTGGCCTTTCCGACCTTGAACTTTGGTTTCTGTGGGAGCAAGTCAGTATGGACACAAGGCGCTATGAGAGGGAGCGATGCGATTCACCCGCATCTCGTTGAGATCTCCATACCGCAAAGTCTTTCGCCTTTTCCTTCTTCTTCCTCGTGCTGGAACCCATGATGTCTTTTGTTTAGGCGATCCTAACTTAAGGCTCGTTGATTTCTTTTCGTGGATTTTATGATTATGACGTCGAATATTCGTTACATTCTCCAGGTATCAATTGTTCAGTCATCGACCAGTTTTCACATGAGAGGGCTAGCACGTTGAAGGTTGGGACCCCTGCAAATTCTGGAGCCAGAACTTTTAGGCGGTCAAAGACGGCAGAATCATGTCAAACTCCCCCACTACGGCGTTGAGGCGCGGTTACCCGGTGAATCCTAGCTCCAATTATTGGGCTCCTTAGCTTCCAAACCAGCCTTACAGACGACACCCGACCCGACCCAGTGTTTGGGGACACTCATTTATTGTTTCCAAGATTCCACGACACTCGATCCTTCTTCTAATACGTCGCTTGTCGCGGGACGCCTTTAGACGAAGCATAGCCCATACCCGTCTCTCGCTCGTACACCTCCCCTTCCTCCAATTATGGCCGATGCAGTATCCGTGAGCGACCTCGACCCCTCCTCCTCTTCAGCGATGGCGTCATAGCTAAACAAAGAATGTGTCCCCCTTTTCGCAGACCAACGGACCCGACGCGCTGGACGAGACCCTCAAGCGCCTCTCGAACAAGCCCGGCGTCAAGGCGACCGTCATCCTTGACCGAGTCACAGGCGCGATCTTACGCACAAGCGGACAACTGTCGTCCTTCAACGCGGCGACGCTGCAGACCTCGGGACAGGGTTCCTTCTCGGGGGAGGGCGCCGCGGCGCAGCAACAGCAGCAGCAGCAGAATGGCGAAGAGCAACCGCAGGGCCTGGAGGACTTTGCTGCAAAGGTCTGGAACTGGGTGAATGCGTCGGGTACGCTGGTGTTGGATCTAGACACTGAGGTAAGAAGATGGTCACGACTGCGTAGGGAGAATGCGGGAGCGAGTCTTTCCCCCTGACCGAAGGCCGGGGCTAACTATGGGGAACAGGATGAGCTGAAGCTACTGAGGCTACGAACGAAGAAACAGGAGCTGGTCATCGTACCAGATCCGAAGTACCTTCTTATCGTGGTGCATGACACACCGCCGGCCTGAAGAAGCCCAACGTCCGACTCACGATTTTAGCATTGGTCGGCGTTTGAGGGATTTTCTCTTCATTGGCTTTACCGAGCGAATGTTTCTTCAGGAGGGTTTGCACATGCCTAGCCGAATGGCAGAGGGCCAGGGTTGGCATGCTCATTGTCCGGCTCCAAGATGAGCGCATTTACAAGATACGCAGGCAGCGGAGACTGGGAAACCTCTTCCAGCCGCCAAGCTACAAGCTCTACGCACAAACACACATGAGAACAAACCAGGGGGATACATAGCTCGGCAGGAACGGTCGAGGCGGGCGCGATTACGAATGATACCCTAAAATTACCAACCGCCACGGCTCCCTGGCATTATACGTCCGGAATGAAGCCGGAGCGGCTGTTCCGCGGGCGATCGCGGCCGGGGCCGCGGGCATGCCGGATAGCTTGAAATGCAAGAAATGATATACAAGTGCAAACTCAAAAAAGATGTTCGAAGCCATCATCGTTTCGTGATATCGGACATGGCGAACAGGCCCCCCCTCCCGCCCGGAAGCCATATCCGTCAGCTCCGGGAGCTTCTTCGTCTGTGGCTTTTCCCTGCCTCTCCCTCTCGCGACGAAGCGTCGGCGCCGATGCGTCCGTTCCTCCCCTGCTTGAAATGGAGAATCTCTGGCACGGCCGGCCAGCTAAGCTAGTCTCGCGAACCAGGTGTAACACCACGGACGTGTGTTGGATGTCGTCTGGAAGCTCAGTGGCTCGCAAACGTTTTGATAAGCTAAGCTTGGTGCGCTGAGAACGTGGCGCGACACTGAGCTAACGGGAAGTGGGCTGGGGCTAACGTCGGCCGGGGTAGGTGCGCCGGTCGGACTTGGAAGTCGAGTTTGAACGTTGAAGGGCAGAGATGCAACCACACACCCCTTGCTGCTCTCCTTCTCTCCCCTCCAAACACCTAGGAATTAAATTGAAAAGGGCCTTCCCCTTGGAGACATCACCACCCACGTCGCGTTCTCGCTTCAGCCCTCTCAACCAGTCGGCGGTCGAGGATTTGCTGCTTTGCGACATTTCAAGTGGACGCCGGCGAGGAAATATGATGCGGCCACACCTTTTTCTTCTGTCGCTATTACTAGCCCTGCTGTTGTGGAACTCTTTCCCCCCTCCTCCTCTCTTGTTTCAGCAACTTGTGGCGAGGTCCTGCCGAGACTCCGGGGTGTGGTTCACAAATATCTACGGATATTAGGCTTGCTTGGGTCCGTCTTCTTTTCTGTTTTGGCCCTTCTCGTGTAAACTTGTCGTAAAGGGAGATTGGGGCTCCTTTAGAGTTTCCTTTAACCTTTTTCTGCGCCTTCTGGACGTTCTCGCTTCGGGACCACACAGCTCGTCTACCCAGCTGGCGGCAGGCCACTTGTGAGTGTAACCCTTTCGTTTTTGCAGTCGGCTCGGCGGTGCGCTTTTTATTTGAACTCTGTTAGGCTGGCCAGTGCTATTATAGGTGCTATTATAGTCAGGGTCAGAATTAGTCGGCGAAATCCAGCTCTGTTGTCGCCGAATTGTCATGAGACTCTTTTTGATGATTTGCGGCTTGCCCACCTCTCTTCCCTTTCCCCTTTATTGGAAGAACTGGAGCTCAGCCCAGCATCACCCCTTTCTGTGCTCGCGCCGTCCGTCTCCTTGCCCAACAATATGAGACAAAGATGTTCGAGATGAATGGAGAGAAGCCAGCTCTCTCCTCTCATCGTTCACGTCGCGCCCGCCCGCCCCCACGACATGTCGTCTCATGTCCAGGTAGATCCAGGTCCACCAGCTGCCCAGTGCTCATGCTTTTCAGCGGAGACCTCTATCATCCAAGCCACGACGGAGGCCCCTCGCCGAAGTCATCGGCAGCTGTCGTTCGCCGCGTGAGGCAAGCTTCCCGTTGTCTTCGTTTCGAAAAGTCTTGAAATCAGTCCATGACCTACTTCGGCCCTCAATTCAGATTTCAGAATGGTCACGATGGGGGGGCGCAAGTTCGGCTGTAGAGTTCAAGCTAGAGCTTCCAACCAAAGGTCCAAGGTAATCCTTGCTCCAGGGATCGGTTCCAGTTCAATACCACCATTGATGGGTAGTATTTTGGCCTTGATGCTAGTTTGCTAGACGTTCGAGAAGACTAGCCGAAGGAAGATCTTTAATGCCATGGGGGCGGGCGGGAGAGGTTCAAGCCAGACCGCAAAAAAAAAAAGAAGAAAAAAAAAAGCCGCATGGTCTTTTCTTCTCTTCGGCTCTAAGCCCATTGGTGGCACTATGCGTGCTTCGGCTTGCGAGGAGAAGATTTGTGCGACGACGGCCCGGCAATGGGTGTACAGACGATGGTGTTGTACAAGTTCTGCAATGAATGCCAAATTACACCATCTTTGCCGAACAAGCGCGGTCCTTGCTAATTCAAACCCTCCCGAGATTTTTTTTTTGCACTGCCTGTACGTAATAATGTTTTTTTATACATTCTAGCGGCATATACGAATTTCGTGGCATATTTGCTTTTTGCTTTACTCTTTCTGCGTGTAATTTTCTTTCCGTTGTCCAGCCATATCCTGCATGAATGAGGGTCTCTTGGGGTCAGAATCCCACGATTCCGGTGAGTCTTGAAACCAGAGCCCCAAGAGGAGCAAACAGCACAACGTAACGGCCAGAAAAGCCCACCACAGCTGCAACATGGAATCTCCGCCCAGCTCAGCATCCATGAGACATCGGAGACACCATGATCCATCACCACCCCTACCCTCCGATTCACTTCCCAAGGGGTGGAAAGAGGGAACCCAGAAGGTGGGGTTGCGGATCCCCAAACCACCTAATCAGAGATCTTCCCCAAAAAAAGACGAACCAGACCCCTGTCCAGAGGGTCGCGAGCTGGTGAGCTGAGCCTGAGCATCGTCGTGGTGGATTTCACATGCGCTTCCACGGGCGAGCTGGCTACCTAGACCAGGTAGTAATTCCTGCTTTCTGAATCTGTCCTGCTGCAGATGTCTTTGCGTTTCGCAACTTTCTTTGCCTTTCTGATCTCCATTACTTCTACGAAGACTTCTTCATGATTTCTTTTTTCTTCTTCATCACCAAGGACCCAAAGACCATCTACAAGAAACTCCACCTGTTTGTTGATGACTGGGGTCCCCAAAATTGTGTTTAGTTGCGGCCGTGACCATGGATCTCCTCCCCCGTACCCGCCGCGGCTGTATTATGTACCGGTATGTGTCTGCTCGTCTGTATCCCCCCCCTCCTACTCAACGAGAGACATCTCTCGTTGGTGATGGGCCTGCCGGAGACAATGCAAGCTCAAGATGAGCGCGGGTAGGACGCACGCTATCATGCAATCTGACATTAGCATAATCTGTCTCGCGTTATACGGGTGAAATGAGGAACAAGCACAAGTCGCCAAAATCAAAATTTGACAATCTCATTCTCTGTGCGCGCTTACTCCCGCCATTTGGTACGACCTTTTGGAACTGCCACGGAGCCGGTTCGTCGTCTTGTTGATCTGTTGTCTGGCCTGCTGCTTTATCATCATTACACTGCGGTGTTCCAGGGCCATGGGAAGGCGAAAATGGCAAAGCGGCCACGCGGGAGCCGGGTGGAGTACCTACCTAAAATAGAGGCTAGGGAGTGACATGGAACCAGGCTCTTCTATCTGCTGGCTGAGCACTCCGATGAAGTCACTACGCAGGTTACATGACGAGGGAGGAAGACTGAGAGACTGAGAGTGAAAGAAAAAAATAGTCCATGCCATGCCTGCAAGACGCGGAACGCCCACTCTGGCACTCACACCCCTCCCCCCAGCCCATATGGGGTGGAAGATGACGAACGAACGGGAAGCTCGCTGCTTCGATAGGGCGTTCTTTTTTCTCTCTTTCTCTCTCTTCCCAACCTTTGTACCTGTTCTTTCTGATCTCCCTCGGCGCTTTTCCTTCTCTGCCCGTCCCTGTCTCTACCTTTGCCATTCGACATGGGGTATTGAAGATCTGAGACTACCGTTCGTTCTCCCCACCCTTTTTCTGCTAGCCCCAAGGGACTCATCTTCCTCGTTTCCCTCCACCCCCGGAGCTCTCTTCCAGGGTATGCAAGCTATATTCAGATATGTGAAAAGTAATCGGTACAAGGTCGCTTCTTTCTCTCTTTTGCTCTCCTTGCCGTAGCGGACTAGACAGAGGGCCCCCTGGTGCCTTGTTGCATGTCGCCTGCGGCCAGGACGAGGGGTACACCAACAGAGTGGACATGGCTTCTTCTGCGGCCCCTCGTCCTGTCCTATCCCGTGGGTGTCTTATCCCGTCACTGTCCAGTCAGAAGAGACCTCCTTCGTCGAAAGGGTCAAGCCCAAGGTCCCAGGTCCAGCCCAACACACACACACACACACACACACACACACACACACACGCACACACACGCACACATGGAGAGAGTGTCCAGCGCAAGAGGGGAGTGAGGAAAGACAGGAAGAGTGGATGATAACAGATACAGAATGTTGTCACTCGCTCCCCTCCGGCACCTCCCCCCCCCCCCCCCCCTTGCCGGCCCCCGCCCCTGGGGTCCCCCTGTCCCCCTTCTTGGTTGCCCGTCTTTTCTTGTTNTTTCTGTCCCCCCCTTTTCCCCCCCTTGTCGTCACCGCTGGTTGCCCCCCCCCCCCCCCCCCCCTGCCTTGGCAGCCCAGCGGCCGTGTGTCCGTCTGTCTCTCTTGTTGATTCGCATTCATTTCTTGTTTTGACATGCCGCCGTCTTGCCTCTCATTTGCTGGAAAACTTGTGTCTCCCACTTCTTGCTTCTGCTTCTTACCTTACAAGACTTGCCCCCCATCCCCCTCCTCTACGTCTCTTTTTTCCCTGATTATTTTCTTACCTACCTATACGACCTTTTGAGGCTTGCCCACCTATCGTTGACTCGGACCTTCGTCCACCTGCTGCAGCAAAACTTGGCTCAACACTGCGTCCTGCGTTCCCATTGTAACATAGAAAAGGTTACCCTGCAGAAACCTGGACTTGCATCGTTCCCGTCGGCAGTAAGACGTCAGGCTCTCCCCTCCACCACCGTCACCACCACCAACATCGACTTCTCCAACGACGCCACTTTTGATCAGCCACCTTGGAGGATCAGGGAAACCCGGTTGGAACATTTTGGAAAAGAGGAACAGGATTACAAAGTTGAAAGCAAGCGGGGAAAGAGTTTGGAAGAAAGAAGGAAGGGTAAAAAGGGTTTTACTTTTCTGGAAAACATTGGGACGAAAACAAGACGAATGAGACGAACACGGCGGCGACCTTCATCCCAACCCACCAACATCAGAACTCACGACTAGTAGAGCAGCAAAGATGCCGTCGTTATCGCTGCTTAGACGCGGGCCCAAACCGCAAGACCAGCGGCCGATGTCCCCGCAGAAGCGACAACAACAACAACAAGAACGGCCACAGTTGTCGCCGCGGCAGGAGGATGGAAGGGAGAGCGGGCAGCAGGCGGCGGCGGCGGGCTTGGGGATCGGAACGGGCGAGCGGGAGCGGGAACGCAAGTTCTCCAAACGGGACCTTTTTGGAGGGCTGTTGAGTCGCAGCAAAGGCCGGGGCACCAGCAGCAGCGCATCGACGCCGGCGTCGTCGACCAAGTCTGGGTGGGGGGCCGGTGCCGAGTCACCGATAAAGTTGCCCGTAAGTCTCTCTCTCTCTCTCTCTCCCTCTCTCTTTCTCTCCTTCGTCCATATCGTCTGTATCTCTGTCACTGTACACCAAAGGATCCATTTGTCTTTCTCTCCCAGAGTCAGCACGCTTTCCACATTTCGAAGCTTCCATGGTCTCAGATCATCCACGCTTTGTCGTTCTATTTTCCACCTTTTTTGTGGTCCTCACCCCGGTTGTCTTCTCAGGCAAGGTTTCTGAGGTGGGCGCTTCAAGTCTGGACCAGCTCAGCCTCCACCGCCCCGAAGCTCCAATGTCCCTGATGCCCCCGAGGTCGAAAGCTGGAGATGAGGAAGTCCTCAGGATAGCAGCAAGGTCGTGCCGGGAAGATGCACGCAACGCAGTAAGATTCATCATATCCAAACATCCCGCGCATACACACCTCACATATTTGGACAATCACACGCACCTTCACCTCACCACCACCACCACCCCTCCGCTTCCGCTTCGCTGTCAACCCCCGCAACCCTCAGACCAGGTCCCGTTCCCGCGTCAGTGTCGGTGGGTTTGTCTTGGCTAAGGCCGGACATTCCGTGCACCGCAGACGCAGGTAGATGCGGATACGGACGAGAGAGACACAGGGCAGTGGGCAGCGGGCAGTGGGCAGCGGCTGTCCAAGGCGTGGGGTGGGTACTTTCTCACCTGGGCCCGTCCTCCCCTTGCCTTCCAAGCTCCAGGCTCCAAGCTCCCAGCTCCAAGCTCCGTCCCCCCTTCCCTCTCCCCACCTCGCCGGGCTGGACTGCCTTACCTAAGGGGGAACCTGGACGGGCCAAGCCTGGGAGCTGGGACTCGGGAACGGTGGCAGTGACGGTAGACGGCGCCACAGTCTGGAGCACGACGCAGCACGACGTACCACATCCTCATCGCTCTCTCCACCGTGTCACTCCCCCGCCATCGTCCTATGCAATCCATCAATGGGGAGCTGCATCAGGCCACTTCTGGTCTGCGGTCTGCCCTGTCTTTCTTCTTTGGCCCACGCCATGCCATCTCTCTCTCCTGCGTGCAATCTCTGCTTGCCATCTGCTTGCTTGCAGTGACGCACTCGGAGATGTCCATCCGCTGTTCCAGTGTTCCTTAATACTTTCCTTCCCCGATGCTCAGACTCTGACGTTCTATACCTCCGTCGCTCCCTTGCATAACCCGTCCCTTCTCTGCCGCATGATCAGCCTCCCAGACTCCAATTCCCCTCTTTAGTCATTGTTACTTGTATAACACACCCTTTCTTTCTCTCCGTCAACAGTCTTCCTCCCCGCAAGTCTGCAATACCTACTTCCCTTACTGTAGGCTGCCCTAATCGGTCAAACCTTCGAGCTGTTGGAAACAAAGACGTCGTCTCCCCGTTTACACACAAAGAAACAGACAGTCCTGCCGACCATACCAACCAACCATAGTCCTCTTCCAGTCTCAGTAACACTGGACTCTCTACCCAATTGGACCGCATCTCTTCGTTCAACCGTTGCAAAAGCCGTTGTGTCTCACCAGCAAACCCCAGGTTTCCCCTCCGCAAAGCAGTGCCGAGTCCCGTTCCTCTCGATCGCCGCCCCCTCTCAACCCCAATAAGCCACTGCCTTCCCCGCCTCCCTTCGACAGTGCCGACCAGCAAGCCAATGGCCCTTCCGCCAGACCAGTTCTAAAACTTACGAAGATCATGGCAACCCTCAGCGATGACGACGTCGAGAAGCTCTTCTCCGGAGCTCCTCAGTACTTTGCTCGCTCCGAGGGCCATTACACCGGCGCCCCGCACCCCTCCGTCGCCTTTCCCTGGGACGAGTCGCTCGAGATCCGCGACCTGACCGACCATGTCCAGATCGAAGATGCCGCCTGGAGTTGCATCACAGCATGGCCTCACATAACCAGGGACATGAACTCCAATCCTGCTGCCATACGATGCGCCAAGGAAAGGAAGCGAGCCCATTTCTACCCGCGATGTCGAGAACGGCCTAATATGCTCAGCATGCAAGGGTTGGAGAAGGGCACAATGGGATACCAGGCGGCTCTGGAGATGCCTGTTGGCGATGCACTCCAGGAAGAGCAGTTTGGCTTTGGCAGTATTGGATTCAAGGCCAAAGCCATTGTCGAACAGCGCCAGAGAATGCTGGCTTCCAAAGACGGCCTCCGCCGCTTGGAGGAATCGTCCATCCTAGATCAGCTCATCAAGAACGGCGCCAGGTACAAGGAGAACAAGGTCCACAGAAAGATCCACAATACCTTGTATAACGAGCTATTCCTAGGTATCCTGCATCCGCCGACCCGTGTCATTGACCACCACGATCCCTACAGTCTCTCTGTACAAATCTCGGCGCTTGTCAAGGTTCTCGCTGCACCTAACGTCTGGATCGACTTCTCCCACGTGGAATGGAGAATCAGGCTAGGCCAAATACTCTGGGGCTCCTTCGAGGGCGACGAGCTCGAAACGGATGTCGAGATCGACGACGCTGATAGTAACGAGGAGCGCAAAGAGGAGAGATACTGGTTGTTGCTTCAGATCCTCCTCGCATGCGAGCTGCTCATCAGGTTGGATGCGATCACGGAAGGTGAAGAGCTTGGCATCGAGAGCATCAGACCCACCGAGATCAAGCGTTTTGAGAAGGACGCAAACTCAACAGTAAAGTGGTCACTGCACTTGGCACGCGCTTGGCTCGAGAATATTGAAATCATTGAGCGAAAGGTCGACCCGGCGAATACTCAGAAGCGCAACTCCGGCGGATGGCTGGCATCTCTGACTGGGAAGATGAGCCTCCACCCCAATAACCACACTCATTCACAGGGTGATGTTTCCGTGTACACCATCCAGGGACGGTACAGCGAGAGACAAGTCAACGGTCTTACTAGTTTCGCAAGAAAGTTACGCTGGCCCGATATCGAATCAGACACATACGCGGAGCAGATCTCTGAGACGGTCAACAAGGTGTCAGAAGCGACGCCGATTCACACACCCGCAGAAACGCCGATGAGCATCGACACAAAGAGATCGTCTTATTTTGGTGGCGGTCGGACTGAGGCCAGCGTTACTCGACATCCGTCCGGAAAGCACAAGATCTCGGCAGCTTTGCACCCTTCAGGATGGCTGTCCAAATCCTACGTATCCGGCCTGATGCTTCCGGGTGAAGGACTCTATCACTTGATCATGACCACTCTTTTGGAGAACGACAAGGAAGCAATGGCCAAATTAGGCCCGATGGCGAACCTATGCGGGGGCTTCGTGTATCGTGGAAAGAGTTTCTGGAGCACGGCATGCATCATTGGCCGCGTTCTGGCTGCTGGTGCTGGCTCTGCTCAGTGCATGGGATGGATCTCAAGCGATATTACTCCTCAAGGCCATGGTGATGGTTGGGTTAATATTGACGTTGCCGAAGTCGGTGGTGAGTAACCTTCTAAACAACTCCTCTTCAACCTAATTAACGCCTTTTGAAGACGACATGAAAAAGACAGGCAAGCAAGCCCGATTGTGGGGTAAGACTCTCGTCGAGCGCGAGTCTTGTGTTCTGGGTGATGCGGACCCCAGCTCCGTGCTGCCCGCGGACTTCATCATTCCTTTTGAGAACAATTACGCGGAGCCGCCTCCCACCCTGAGCATCTCCTTGACATCCCTCAATCTGTCCGCGCCCGTTGACTCGGCCCGCACCACTCCGACCGAGGAGACGGTGATGACTCCTTTCTCGGACGTGACCCGCGCTCACGAACTCTACACATATCCGGCTTCGATCTCCTTTTCTGTCGGCCCCAACGGCGGTGCGTCAAAGGAGCATCAGTTCTCTCTGACGAAGGATATCCATTTCGTGACGGCTCATCCATGCCACCCATCTTCCCACGTCAAGGTCTTGAGGTCGCCCTCGAGCCCCACTATCCAGCAGATCGACGTGGATGGCAGCGGCATCGGCGGTGTGAGCTCTAAGCCGGCCACCATCACGGGTAAAGAGAACCAACATTCCTCTCATATTGCCACATAGACTGACCATTAGCTAGGACATCCCCTACACAAATCCTTCACATACACTGTGATCCATCTATCAGAGCTTCTCGAGAAACCAGATGCCTCACTGGACAACCTGCTCCTGAACACGTCATCTGTCCGACGTCCATCTCTCACCCCCACCATGAACACCACACCTCGCGTTTTGGTCATTGACTGCATCACTGGCTTCAAGCGTCAGCCGCCGACGCAAGAGACTCCCACGTCTCCTATCCTCGAACGTACTGCCAATGGTGCCAGCCTTGCGACGACCAACATGCACCTCGAGTCCCGGCGTCGCCAGTTTGGAAGTGACATGGAAATCCTGGTGAGAGCGTTCTGCGCGGAGAAGGGCTGGAATGCCATCATCTCGAGACGCCGGCGGGGTTGCCTTGCGTGCGCCATCAGAGAGGCCGGCGCCTTGGCGTGGAAGGTCATCATTCGTGTCGACTAGACGTGTCTTCTCTTTTGCCTTGACCTTTTAATTTTTTCTTGTTTGTGTAGTTGAGGCCGATCGGCTGAGATCAAGTCATCATTCGGGCGTCACGGATTGTTGTTAGGGATACCTGGGGTACACACGCACACGTGCACACACGAGAGGCATGCATAGCGTTGATTTATTCGCGGAACGACTGAAAGAAAAAGAGATGGAACAGAGTGTCTGCATTGGTCTGAGAGCTGTAGTGCGCGATACCCCCCGCCCCCTGATATAATACGCTGTATTGAAGAATATCCCTCCTCAGCCTGTTTGCTGCGGTGTGACTTGAACCGCGAGGCTTGACGATCAAGGCTCGTGGTCTCTAGATCCGGACACCATGAAAGCCACGGTGCATGCATGATCAATCTTCAGGGATGTTGTGTGTATCCCGCGTGGCCGCCGCAGGCCAAGGCCAGAATATTATCTAAATGACATTGCCGAGTTGCACAAATCTGGCAGATGAAAACTCGTCAAATAACCGACCCAAGAATGAATCGCTGACAATCAAGCCCCTTTGAAGCCGTTGGAGTCTGGCCTTGTAAATGGTATCAACCCACCCTTCCCCCCCCCCCAAAAAAAAAAGATTGGATCCTCCCATTGCAAATCATCAACTACCTTACTCATTGCGATCACATCACTCGCCATAGACTCACAGGTCTTTGCCTTCAAACCAGCTGTTGACGCTCCACTCCTTCCAGCCGCGCTTCTCGCCGGGGAGCTCAATGGACTCGTACTCCTCACGGGTGACGTTCTGCCACTCCTCGAGGGGGATCCAGCCAATGTAGGCGCGGTCGCCGAAGCCGCCGATCCAGTAGACGGATGTCACGACGAAGCGAACCCACTCTGATTCGTGGACGGGGCTGCCGGGGAGCCAGTACTTGGAGTCAGGGTGCTTGTTGACGAAGCAGTGGGCGAGCTTGAGGGAGGTGACAGGGTCGACGGGGATCTTCTCGAGGTAGCCGAGGAGAGAGAAACGGGGGAGGTTGGCGGCGGAGTAGGGAACAGTGTCGGGGAGGGCGGTAACGGTGTCGGCGTCGAAGGAGCCAAAGATTTTGCTCTTGAGCGAGGAGAAGAGGGAGATGCGCTTCGCGGGCGGGAACGGCGGGACCCAGTGCATGGAGAGGGAGATGTTTGATCCGGCGCGGACGTTCTTGAAGGACGTGGCGATGGTGATGGCCAGGATGGTGGGGTTGCCCTCATCCTCGCAGTCGGCGACGTAGTCCATGAGACCGATGGGCATGCCAGAGAGGTCGCCGCCCGAGGCGGAGTGGGCGCCCGTCGGGAAGACGGTCGCGAGCTCGGCCAGCTTGGTCACGGCGAGGATGCGGCGGCCCATGATGGCGGACTCGTGCGAGGTCGGGATGCGGCTGGCATCGGCGCCGCCTTCGGGATTGGAGAGGAGGTGCTGCGGCATGCCGGGCTCGAGAACAGCGGTGACCGCGGAGGCGGCAAGGCCGGCGAGGATGGCGGATGTCTTCATTTTGTTTTTGGTTCGACACGAAACTGCTTGGACGGCACGAGGAAGAGAGGATGCAGAAGGAGGAGGACCTGTCGGTGGTCGGGGGTCGGGGGTCGGGTGTGTGCCAGGTTTTGTAGCAAGGTCCTCACTTGAGGTGTGTGGTCGGCCGTCGGATAGGGTGGAATTGATCGTACGAGGTGTTCGTAGTATGAGGCGGTCTAGGAAGGGTTAGGACGGAGAGCCAAGATATTTGGAGGGAACTATTGAGTGCGAGCACGGCGGGGACGATGTCTGTGTTGGGGAGGTTCTTCGGTTTTGGGGGATGGATTGAAGAACAAAGAGAACGGGATGGATCCTGCGTGGGCAAACACGGTTAGAGGACTAAGGTCGCCCTCATCCAACAGCGTCGGCAACAGTCAATAGAATGAGTAGGGTTTCCGTAACGGACGAGGACGGGAGGTCGGTCTGCAACGGCGGTGGGCTGGGGGGTTCAGTCAGAAGGTTAGGTTACCTCGAGTTGGGTTTAGCTGGGCAACTCCGCAAGAGGAGAGATGGGCGCATGTGATGTCTGGGATGAGACGCTTGGAAAGTGGCCGGGGTTTAGATCTGATAAGCCAAACGGCGTTTAGCGCGAGACCGACCAAGCCTGACTCTACCCACTCCGAGCCATGCGGGCATGGGCAGGGCTGCTTGGTGCTGGCGGTTGTACACACTACCTTACGAAAGACAAAATTTCAAGGTCCTCATCCGAAGCTGTGGGCTGGCTGAAGGTTGTGTGCCTGCAGGTACCTGGACTGCATGGTCGTCTCGGGCGTCTGGCGATGAGCCGATGAGCCGACGAGCAGATGTTTTTGGCGTCCAGTCGATGCTGAGCCAAGAGGGCGACAGAACGACAGAATGGGATGGACAGTGTCTACCTCACCTACCATGGTAGAGAGGTACGTTACCTTAAGTACCTTAAGGTAGGTGCCCAGCTTCCCTATCAGCTTATCTAACGAGGGGAAGACAGTGTAGACTCTCTCTTCTTCAAAACACACTGTGCCAGGTCTTCTGAGGTGGGGTGGAAGGAAAGGAGGGCCCGAGGGGACTTGAGTAAGTGGAGGCAGTTACACGATTAGATGACAGAAGGCCCCAGGTTGTGCTGGGAAACTCTTAAGAATGAGGTAGCGGTCGCTACAGAAGGGTCTGTTCATTGCCAAGTGCTGATTGGTGTGCGCTCCTTGTCTGTTCGCACCCAGGCTCAAGTCACATCACAAAGACGACCAGGACTGAACAACAACACCAAGCACAGAAAGGCACAAGCCCTTCGACAGACAGAGGTGTCAGCGACAAGCAAAAAGGCGCGCCTTTCTGCACCCAATTTCAGGGCATACTCAAGGCTTCTCATTCAAGACCAAGCATTTGATCTGCCCCTCTCTCTCTGAACCATCAACTTGAGCAAGGGTTGAAGGTCAGTGTGGTCTCCATTCTTGCCCCGCTGAAAATTCACTCTTTACTTCCTCACCTGAGCATTGAGGGACCTGGACGTCCACAGGTGAGACTGATCAACCAGGGTCTTCACCACCAACGTGCTTATCTAACGCTGACCTCACATCTGGCCTCATAGCTGATTGCCATGGAAGAGGAGACCAAGATGGCAACATGGAACGGTTTGCCTGTCGAGCTCAAAGGTCTCATTCTGGAGCACCTCGCCCTTGGCGCCGTCGCTGAGAGACGCTCCAAAATATGGAAGTCCAAGAGCAAGCGTCATGACATGGGCAGCTACGCCGTGGTGTGTCAACAATGGCAGAGATTCATAGAAAAGATCAACTTCAGTACACTCGAGATCAACTCTGCCAAGGACCTCTCCCGGTTCGATGAGATTCTTCAGGAACCCAGCCGTCGCTCTTACCTGCGCCGCATCTCACTCCGCATTGAGCTGCCTCGCTATGCCAATAAGCTGGCCAAGGTACCCGAGACAGACGCGGAGCAGAACGAAAATGAGATTGCATTTACTCAGGGAATCTGGAACCTTTTCGACATCCTCAACAAGTGGACGCCTTTGGGCCAGGCTATCGAGTTGGAGCTGAGCGCCGCTTCGCCCAGCGATAAGAACAAGTACTTTGGCGAGATGGGCTTAGACCAGGGCGGCAACTCACGCTTCTTTGACCACGACCTCGACTTTTGCTTCATCACCGCCGGCTGTGAACAGGTCGGACGACACGGCCTCCCCGAGGTCTCGGTCATCAACAGCTGCCAGATTCTACGCCGCAACCACCGCAACATCTCATCTCGAGCCTTGCTCAGCATTATCTCAAGTCTGCCCAAGCTTGAGGAAGTCCGCTTTGAGCCCTGGCATCAAGTCGACTTGGAGGCACAGCTAGAAGTCGACTCAGGTATGTCTCTCATCTCTCCCCAAGGTGGCATCCAATTGCCCGATACTGACTTTCTCAGATTATGCCCGTACTTTCCCTTTCTGGCCATCCCACATCAAGCGAATCAGCATCTTTGAGCATTTCGATGCTTTCAATGATGGCCCGGAAGCCGAATGGGAGGATGCCGAATCTGTTGACGATAATGACGCGGATGCAAACAGTGTGAACACCGTTCCTCTCGTCCTAGACGATGCGGAAGATGCAGGCGACGTTGCCCGAACCTCTTGCCCCAGTCTTGGTCACAACTTGGGCTTTCTCAGTCTACAAGCCGAGGAGATGGCCGTCTCAAATGTCTCTGACGCGACGGCCTTTTTTCAAGGCCTCCTTGCACGCAAACCCGTCTGGAACAACCTTCGCCGACTTGCACTTACGTCCCATACGATGATTGATGGCATCGACCACGAGACTGTTAACAGCGTCCTCCGTTCGATCGCCAACGCCGCAAAGCACATGCCAGCATTGCAAGTGCTGGAGGTTTACAAGACCGACCAATTTGGAGGTGCCGTCTTCCGCTACACCGTCGAGACGTTGTCGACAACAGCGTCGTGGGAGAGCACCTGGGACTTTCACGTAAGAGCTGATGTGAAGGCTGCGTGGGCTGAGGTGGCTAAGAAGAACACTCCCCACAACCTGACCTTTCTCCCCGAGATTCGCCAGAGCGACTATCGAGGTCCGTATGTGTTCTTGGACCAGAACTTGAAGACGAGGGATCTCATCCTACACCCGGCGTCGTTGGAGGATATGCTGTCGAAGAAGCTGGATAAGTGCCAGGCTTGCAACGGATTCTGTGCCGACCCTAAGAGCGAGGAACAGGTCTGGGGTTCTACGAGGGGCAACGACGCTTGAGCATATGAGCAAGGCCGATACATACACTCGTGAACATATCTTGATACCCTTTAGAATATGAATGTTACACGGCCGTGAAGATGGATCAAGGAAAAGTTGGATTAATCAGACAGGCATACATCATACATTGGTTGGTTGTTAAATAAGATTGACCCTTCAATCAGTCTGGGCCAAAACATTGAAGGCAAACTGAGTCACCGTACCTAGTCAATCATACCCCCCACCTCCCTCCCTAGGTATCGAGAACGGTCTTCAGCCTGTTCGCCGATGATTCATCTCGCCGGCGCCACTGCAAAAGCTCAGACCACCGAGCAGAGGGTGGCTCATGCTGTTGTGGGGTTATTCCCTAAGGCCGAAATTACTCCCGGACCACTTCTTCCGCATTGGGGCTGACGCAAAAGACGGAAGGTGACTGGCTCAACAAGGCAAGCCCCTTCGCCCGCCCTGCTCCTTCCCCACTCGGTACACGTGACGCACAGAATTACGAACCGAACCCCCAAAATTGTCCTCGCCCGCAGCCCTCCCACGCACTCCGACGCCCATCGCCCGCGCAGAAGAAGACAAGCCCGCTTCTCGATTCCATCGACAACCAACTCACCGTATCACCACAGCAGCAAATCAAACCGCCAAAATGGGAAAGGTTCACGGATCGTTGGCGCGTGCCGGAAAGGTCAAGTCTCAGACGTAAGTCTTTTTTTTCTTCTACCTATGAGAACAGAAAACACCCCGTACGTGTATTTGGGAAACGAAGGTGGCAAAACGTCGAAAACTTTGGTCACCACGGACGACGATGAGGGGAACGCCGATCGGGAAAGAGAAGGGATAACAACGCTGCGTTCGACGATGTACGACGAGGAAATTACGTTTCAACGGAAGATTCGACCTGGCGAAGGATCATTTTGTCTTTGATGATGAAATGACGAACCGCGATCGCTGACCATTGCAATAGCCCCAAGGTTGAGCCCCAGGAGAAGAAGAAGACCCCCAAGGGCCGCGCGAAGAAGAGACTCACATACACCCGCCGTTTCGTCAACGTCACCCTCACCGGCGGCAAGCGCAAGGTACACCCCCGACAAAACCTCCCCTAGCCGTACTGTCGATGACTTACGATGACTAACTTCGCCTCCCTTTGTAGATGAACCCCAACCCTACCGCCTAAGCGCCTTCTTCTTCCCATATGCATTCGATACGACTCTAGGAACGTCTGGGCCACTGGCATGAGGGCGGAATCGTTGGGACAATCAAGTTCAAGGGTGGTTGGCGAAAATGGTGAAATTTGGGACAATGCCGTCGTGGTTTCGGAAATCTTATCACGCCCCTCATCCCTCCGGTCTCCCTCCGCCTGCCGACGGCTCGAGGAATCCCCTACCGGTGTGGTTACTTGGGTCAGTGTGTGTATAGATTGATCTCTCCCGACCCGACGAAAGCATAAGAGACAAACGAATGCGTAACGCAGAATTCGTAAAAACTATTTGGTTTTTTTCTGGCATTCAAATCGGAAATGGGGAACCTCGCTTTGTTTTTGAATTGTCTTTGTCAAACTTGATGAGCGCTCGCCAGATGCCATGTGGCAGTCTCGACTACGGCTCGGGGAGAAATACATGGATGTTTCTTCAGCCATCTACCTGACATGTCGTCAAGTGCCCGTTGTGATTATGAAATGTCGGCAGGGTTCCCCTCGAACGCTATCCTCTTCATACTTGCCAAGTTTCAACAGCACCGAGCTCTCGAAATTAGAAGACTCTCCCGACCTCCAGTCAATTATGCGTTCGACCAGTCCAGTCCAACGCTACGCATCATCCGCCACCGGGGTCTCGGAGAACTGGTTCACTCCAGTCAGTAAGGAGTCTCTCTAGGTGCTAACAAGCTACCTATGGCGGATCCCGATCTTGTGCGTTTTATAGTCTTATTCGGAACATTAGGCTGGCATGAGTTGCTGGCCATGAACAAGTATAGGACATGCCCTGTCATAGCGGCTTCAGGTCGCTATAGACTGTTCAAGCAGGAACTAGAGGGCCAACAACCGCACTTTGGTGTTTTTGACCCGGCCGGCCCTTGTAGTAAGGCTCCGATTCGTCTTTAGTATTCGTTCATCCGAGCAGACATGAACCGGAGGGGGCGTTGGTATCAGACTCTCTATCGCTCACGATGGCTTTCATTGTCGATGGTTGGAGAGTGTTGTGTTTGTGGTCTTGGGCACGGGTGGGGTGGTCGGCCGGTATCGAGGCGGGAGATACGGATGGATGCGATGAGGCGCATCTGTGGTGCTTCCATGTTTGTTATGAAGGAGGTTAGGTCGAGGTAAAGGAGAGAGAGAGGGTGGATGTGGATGTGGAAGAGGCTCCAACTCTGTGATCAGGCCGCCCCAGGCTTGGAATGCTGGTCCCACGTCAGTGAGGTGCAGCTCGAACAGAAGAATCCTGGATTTTTCTCTTCGTGCTCGGGACAAAGATTGTCTTGTCAAATTGTCACTCCACGTCGAAACCTGGATGGCGTGCTCTCCGGGCTCATGCAATACACGGCTTGCTTGTGCCGGGATTCCAGAAGGAAACTCGGTCTTGGGAGTATACATGCCCTTGCCAGAACCAAGCCAGCTAGGTTTTTACCAGACGACTTGTGACGGGAAACCTAGGGCTGCATTGGGGAACATGTTCAATAAGTTGAAACTTGGTGGTAGACAGGTTTAGTGTATCGCGTAGCATGGCTATTCCTCGTCATCTAGGTCAAAACTCAGGGATGATGATATCAAGTCGAGAGGTCAAGCTACATTTTTGGACAGTCGGTTTCCATGTCTTGCGAATCGGTATAATAATTCGTAACCATGATATACCCCAGACAGGAATAAAACTTTTGCTATGCTTCCCGCTGGAGTGTGAACTACACTCAACTTCAATCCTCAGTTACTTCGTACAGAAAACGCATGCCACATTGAACGTATGAACAACCGCTCCGTGAATGAAACGTTATTTTCCTACTAACCAGACCCGTTACATCTAAATTGCGATTCTGACAATCAGCTTTTCTAGAAGTGCTACCTCTCGTTCTCATCCGGCTCGTCAAAAATCATGGACAGGACGCTTTGCATTCCTGTGATAGTAAGCGGTCTCGTCCTCTCGAGTTGGGTTCACATGGGGGAGCTCGTCTACGACGTCCAAGTGACCAAGACCAACAAGAGGTTGTAGAAAATTCGTTCTGAATAAATTCAACTCAGAATTCAAGGTTGTCAAGTTCATGACATCGCTGAAAGACTACCTAGTCGTCGAGGCAAATCGACAGCATTTACAACATGGTCACCAAAGACAAATACCTTTCACTAAAACTTATTACAGCAATACATAAGCGTCGTCCGATATTGGGTAATCGACAAGATCACTGCGTATGGGGATCATCGTACCAAACCAGGTAGCCAATGCATTCATGGTGAAATCCCGCCAACACTCTATGACATATGGAAACACTGGCGCTGGTCCCGGAAGCCACCTGGTGCATCAACAGATCCAAAATAAATGACCCGGCCGGGCCCACGATCTCTGGTTGAAGTTGACGGTCTGACCAATTTACTCGAATGCTCTGCCGCTCATCGAGGTGTCCCCCAAAGTGCCGTCAACCCGGAACGACGCACGTGCCTCCACCCGGTCTCCGAGACGTCACCGGGGCAGTTGATTGTGGGGCCGTACTGACCCTTGCCGTTCTATTGTCTCGTTGCCAGAGCGTGAGTCATCCGCATTCTTGAACAGAACATGATAATGTTCATTATTGATAGGTGAAGTCGGGTCTATTTTGAAGAGGCATATCAAATGAATCAGTCGGCGACGCGAGTGTTGTCAGTACAACACGTATCACTTTGGCAATAAATTACGACGGACTACTCATTTAACCCCAGGTCAATCGTAATATGTGACGCGGCTAACAGCAGCGTCAAATCACTACATTCTCAGTTGAAGAAAAATGCGGCTTACAGCTACGGCTATGCCAGTCCACTGAACAGCTTCTCGTGCAAAAAGGCCATCTGTTTGAGTCGCCCCTACAAGTGTTACTTGCTCATCCAAGAATGCCGCCAATCCCCGGTAGATTCCCAGTATTTCGAGAGGCAAATGAACTCGATAACGTCAGAATGAACAAAACCCTGAGAAAAACTACGGATCATCCGAGCTCCCAGCCCGCGAAGGGCGTCCTGCCGCACCCGACCCAAGTTCATGCAAAAGACTGCGCAGACTTTCGACCAAAGGTGGTAGAGGTTCCGAAACCACAGGGAAGTTGTTCCGAAATATATCTCTAGCAATGGAGAGGATCACACTAGGGTTAGATAGTGATTCCACGCCGTCGGAAGGGTTTCCATTGATTGTGAGGCCAGGCATTCCACGATCAAGCTGAAGGAAGGCCCTCGTTTCCCGGTTTTCTTCCGAATCCATGAGCGTGTAACCAGAGCTAGACCTGTTGCTGCCCATCCCATTACCAATTTCTTGATCGGAGCCGTGCCTAGAGGCCGAACAGGAGAGCAACCCGTATGCCCAAAGCGTGAGACATGCGTAGTACACGGCGATGGCGTTGAATTCACGTAGAGACGCGGGTGGAAGCTGACGAGCATGATGGAAGATTTGACCAGCATGCCATATCGCGTAACGAGCCTCAGATGTCTTTACCCAGCTTTCTTCTAGGCTGGTATAAGTTTTGCGGGCCTCGTCCTCTCCCGACTTACCAGCAAACGTCTGCAGAACATCGGGAGAAACATGTAAGAGCATCATGAGCAACTCCGACATGACTGCAAGCTGAGCCGTAGGCCGCTTCGATGTGAGAATCATAGTTGAAAAGTCGTTTAGATCTCGGTACAGCTCCTGATATTGTGTTTTGAGCCAGAGGCGGTGGGTCGCATTTCTCTTGCTCGAGAGCCCGTCGGCATAGAACTTGAGAGCTTCGCGATACGCCGCTATTTGACCCCAGTGGCCATGTAGTAAGGCCATGTAACACAATTCGATGTCGACCAATTGCTCAAATTCGTCCAGAATCTCGGTACAGTGCATGACCTCTGATACTCGGGGAATAATACGGCCCTGGGCTGCATTGGTTTTGGCAACACACAGATTCCTCCACTGCTCTGCGGATCGTGCTCTCCATAGATCTCGAGAAGCAGGAAGACTGAAGCTTAGTTCTGTGTAAGACATTAGTGGATTTTTGCAGAATCCTATGGATGTCTGGATGTCGTGAAAAAACATGTGCAAAACAATGCGTTTGTAGGATTCACGCTTCGCAAATTTGCGCCATTTCGAGTCCAGAACCTCGGGCGAGTCTGCCATCGTTGGGATCAATGCTGCCGAGTCTGGTGGGGCCGAAAAGTTTCCCGAGCGTCTCAGCATGGTCATTGGAGGCTGCAGAAAGCTCTCTGCAATCTCCATCTTTCGCTTAAAACCACTCCAGATGCCAATATCCAGGTTGAGCATGAACGCCTGGAGGGCCGCGAGATCTCGCGTAAAAGAGTTTGATCCTTCGAACTTGGGCATGTTAGCAAAATCAGGTTGCTGCACGGTGTATCAAAGGGGTGATGGACTTACCAAGTCTGCCAGTCCAAGCCGGAGCACTTCATGGAGGGCAAAGCCGAACCGCCACACCGCAGGAATGGAGATGTACGTAGCACCGCTGGACAGAATGCCAGCAAGAAGTTCCGGAATCGCAGCAGCAGCATCGAACGTCGCCAGATGAATCCAACTATCGCTCTGGTGCTCATCATGAATGAAATGAGCTTGCACGAGGTAGTTCAGTAGATCTAAAGACGGAAAAGACGGCGTACGTGTACGGGCGCCCTTTTGGACTGTGCTAGCCACCACCATGGCCAGCAGACTGTCTCTTGAGAGGGACGTCATCTTAAGCTTGGTGCCCGGCGTATGGATAAGTTTGTCGAAAGCGGGAGAATTAGCAAAGGTGCCGTCGTCAAGGATCAAGCTCTCCTTATCCTGCGGGGCTGCGTGATGCAGCGCGTAATCCTTCGGCCCCGGTTCCCAGAGCCAAGGCGATCGTTTGAAGGCCGCGTGTGCTTTTGACGCGTTTCGTACGTTAGACTTGGACCGGCTTGTTGTGGTAGATTCTGGAGTCTGATTGATGTCAGGTTGTGGAATGGTTATGGCGTCGAAGTTGAGGTCCCATGAGGAAAAGTCCATGTCCTGGAAATATGTATGTACTGGATTGAAGTTGGCAATGTCGTCCAACACCATGTCCATGACAGGGTTCGAAAAGCCATCATCCATGTAGGAGGATGCGTCCAGATCATGGCTCATATCAGGGTTTTGTGGCATCATAACCAATTTGGAGGGTGTAAAGATGGAGCCAGTGTCCATGCTACCGTTCAGGTCGACACTCAGATGCATCGTTGATGCCTCGGAAGGGCTGGAAGCGCCGTCGATGGATGTTCTATGAGGATGTGTGCGCTTCGAGGGGACATCGCATGGTAGATTCTTGGAGCGACAGCGAGAGCATGGCTTGGCATCCTGGACGTGTGTCAGTCTTCTGGTACTTTGGCGCAGTGCTATACTCTTCCAGGTTTTGGTTTTTACCTCGCATTTTGACTTGGAAGCGGCGCAGTTTAAGCACGCCTCCGCGGCTCGATCACTCCTCCTGATGAAGGTTCTACCCTTGCCCGTATTATCCCGGTCGTGAGTTGTTTCGTGGCGCGTGAGTAGGTCGGCTCTGTTGAATCGTTTGGGACATCGGGAGCACTGGTAAGGACGAGCATTCTCGTGAGAGCGTAGATGCCTCGTCAAGTGATCGGCTCGCTCGTATACTCGCTTGCACATATGGCATACATGTGTCGAAGAGGGAGAGGTGTCGGATGTGCTCAGTTTGCGTTTCCCGAGCTGTTGGGGTAGAAGTTGGGCCGATTGTTTCTGCAGTTCTGACGGTGAATAGAGAGGGTTCAGCATGTCAGAGCCGGCGGCATCGCAAAGGATATCGATGCCGTTCATGTTAAGTTTGGCGAGCGGCGGGCGGGCGGGCGGAATGAGGATGGGGATAGGGATGGGGCCGGAGGTTAGAATGAGTTGGATTTGATGATGACCTGCAGAGGCACGTTGCGCAAGTCTTGCGACTGCAGCGGCATCAGGGAATTGGGCACCGGGAAGTGGCGGGGGGGGAAGTTTACCTTAGGATGGCCGGCAGCAAAGTGGAGCAAGCAAGGTCATATTCTGGGGGGAAGGGCCGCGGTGGGCAGGGCAGGAAACACTGAACGGGCAAGGCGGGCATGGCGGGCATGTCATTGCGGCCGGGGAAAGGTAGCCCTCCATACGTTAAGATACGGGAGGGTACTTTATCCGACGTCGCCGCTCGTCTGTACCTTTTTGCGGGGTTTTAGGCCCAAAAAGCTAAGACAACCTGGAAGGAAGACAACACTCCAATGGGAACCAGAGCCGTTGGATTTTGCCTCGCTGTGGTTGGTTGCGGAGCCGGAGCAGCTGGCCAAGCTGAGGGAGTGTGAGGTTGATGCTCGATGCGCTCGCACGTCGTTGAGAGTCTAAATCTGACTGACCTCTCGTTGCAACTTTGCTATATCCGTGTGCCTCTCACACCATTCCATGTTAAGTCGACCCATGTCTGCTTCTTCTATGTGGAGTCGACAAGCCGCGCTCAGAAATACGAGGCGTTTGAGACAGGAATAAGGAACAATTCGAGAACGATTTCCCGGGACACTGAAAAAATTGGAATAGACGGGCCCTGTGATTGACGTCTACACTGCATTGCCGAGCATCCAAGAGTCATGACGGGCCAAGTTGAAGAAGGAACGATGCCATTTATAGGGGCCAGCTGAAACTGAGCCATAGTGACAACCTTGAAAGAGCGACGACAGCCTTGAGCACTGGGATAGGTCAGGTACTAGGTCCGAAACGGGCTATTGATGACTTTTACCCTCGCTACACTTCATTGTGAGCAGGGCTGGAGGGCTGGAGTGATGATGACATTCAAGTGAGGCGTCTAGACTCAAAGGTGACCGAGAAATGAGGTGTTTTTGCTGGCTGTCCGTCTCCTGTTGCTTTTCCCAAGTCAACGACTTCTCACGACTGGAATTCATTTCGAGCTCCGAGTTTCTCCTGTTTGACAGTGAGTGTTGAGGTTATCCCAGGGGCCCATGGATCCACTCCTGTTCCGTCCAGATTGCTTACGGACCGGAACGATAAGGTTTGCAAACTTGCTCTAGGACCCTGAAAGAGACGGGCTCAGTTGCCTTAGTAAAGTGACGGCAAAATCAAACGCGATACTTGTCAGGGTCCTGGGTCCTGGGCCCTGGGCCCATCGTACCTAGTGAAAGTTGTCGTTGTGCGTCGAGTTCTTCTGGCCTGGGCTAAGTTGCCTTTGACTCGGCCGTTCTGTCCTCCTTGAACCGGCGTCTGGCATTTTAGACCGAACGTACTTGGGTGCCCACTCGGTGTGATCAACATCTCAGGTGAATCTTACTCACAAGTCACCACTCACTTGAAGAATGAATGCGAAGAAGCTGCGATTGAGAGAGAGGCAGACGGGTGGGGACTAGTGCTTCAGATCGGAGAGTGAGGGAGGAGCGCATTCAAGCCGCTGGCCAATCAGGCACCCGATATGCCGGTCCGCAGATGCCTCTCGGGAACACCTTCGCCTGCTCCAGAGATGTCATCGAACAAGTTGTCAACTCTCAACTTTCCACCCAAGTCAGCGTCAATTAATCCTTGTTTTTACTTCCCTTTCTTCCCCTTGCTTAATCTGCCATTGCTTCTGTCACTTTTTCACACCTTCACCCTCCTCTCAACTTCACAGTGCTGACATCCCTCCGAAACCAACGGGGAACATGCCAAGCATCGTCTCTTCACACCGGTGTAGTAGTTGCCTTTCTCTCTCAGCTTGCCGACCCCTGAACAAATCGCCAGCGCCTGCACATATACCCTGCCCCGTCATATGATGCGTCCAATCAATACCTTGCTCTATTATTGCAGCGATTGCAGCGATTCAGTAAATCGATTCGATCTCCGCATAGCCTGGCGCTACCCAATATGAGGGGGGGGGGGCTCACTGCGCGAGAACCCATGAGATCCAGGCCAGGACTAGCCGTGCTGTCACTTATGACGGTTTTGCGTGTCTTACGATACAAGACATGGCCGCCCATATCTGCACAATTCTCATCTTCCCTTGTCAGTCCGGGCATTTGCATCACCCGCGAGGTGGCTTAGGGCTTCGTCACGATAAACCGAAGAGGCCCGGCACATCACTCGCTGGCCACCTCGTCCACAGTCATTCCTGAGAGCAAGCCCTGCTGGGACGCTACGAAACTAGGGACATGGACCTGGATCTCAGCTGGAATGCGCCTTCCTGGATGCCGGCCCTGCTCTTGACAGGCCTTTGAACTCCCTGTCAAGTGTTGCAGGGCGTCCACTCGTGCGTCCTGCACGCCGTTTGGTGTAACGAGTTTGACCCAACTTCCACCTTCAAGCTTCCTTACAGCTGTGTGTGTGTGTCAGTGGAACCGTGGAACCGGGACCGATTGGGCTGAGAGGGGACCTGATCGCAACGCAACTACCTGAACCCACGCATGGCCGAAGTCCGCCATGGATCACCGCTGTTTCCGTCTTCCAAGCCGACCTCCCATCCCCGTTGTAGGCCGTCGGTCCGCAGCTACAGACACAGCTACGATGACCCGCGCGGCCATTCAGAAACGACTTGTCAACAAATGAAGGCCTGCAGGAGATGCAGCTCGCAACCTTGTGCTGAATATGGTCATTCGAATCGCACTCAACTGCCAGGTTTTGATCCAACACGATACTTCGTTCAGGGAGACTGCTACCTTGATCCGCACTGGATACCCAGCGCCAAAGGACCTCTTTGCTTTTCGACCCATCGTCTCTTTCCCCTTTCCAACTGCGATACCACCTCGATCTTGACCGATACACACCTTAGGGGATCGGTTTCCCCTCATGCAACTACAGGCATTAGTGTGCCAATTCGTCGCGAAAACCGGACTCAGCAGCAGTCAACACCACACTCCCGGCGTTATCTCCGAGCAAAACACCTCCCGCGTCCCGTCCGGCACAGTCGCGATCGGGGCCATGCGATGCGCTCCGGCCCATACAGGTGTCGTCGGTCTGCATCTACTCCGTTTTTGGTCCCAAGATCGAGGGTGGAACCTGTACCAAGATACACACCACACCACACGAGTCCCGTCGCCGCATCCATACTTCTGACATCCATCCATTCCCGTTCGAAACAATCAAGGTTCAAACGAGGTGCGAGAAAGAACAAAGAACCTGTATAGTCTCTGATTGAAGCAAGTATGCCGAAAGCGGCTACCGATACAATTCCCAACTCCCCTTCCAAGCCCAAGCCCAAGCGCCAGTTGGTTTGCCCATGTTGTTCTTATCCCTCTCTCCGTCCAACTCCCGCCCATTCTGCCCCTCCGACCGTGCATTCCGATCTGAAAATCGGACAGAGATGGCTCGTTAACATTACCGGGCCAGTACCCAGGTTGGCCCACGCATCAATTTTGATCTGCCCCCTTTTTCCATACACTCCAATAAACCCAGAAAGAAAGAAAAAAATGGCAAGACAACAATGAAAAATTCCTCGTACTCGAACAAGCACAACCCCCTATGGTCATCTCGCTCGCACACAAACCCTCAATCTATAGTCCTTGTGTGTCGCCGTTCGCCGTAGTCCCGGGGTATCGTAATTGTTTTGGTGGTTCCCAATATCGTATCGCAGTCCCAGCTTCATGACTCTTGTTAGGGGATTCAGTGCTGGACAAGAGTCAGCCTCACCGCCACATCTTGAAATGGAGCGGGAAGAAGTTGGAGAACTCACATGAGCTGTCTTAGCCGCAGGGGGTGCCGCAGTAGCCGCACTCTTTTCCGGGTAGTACCCACACCTCTTTACCTGAAGCATGGCACGTAGGGCAGCGAATGCCTGGGAGGAGGTGCTGGGAAAAGAGAGTTAATTCGGGCTCTGTGTGGACGTGGGGTGCAGTCATGCACACTCACCTGTTTCGAGCCGCTCTTGGTGGACGACGATGGCTTCTGCTGGTTTCGGAAAGCGGTCTTGTCGACCTGAGTGTGATATGAGCAGACCATGTTGGCGAGATGTGACGACCAAGGTGGTAGTGTGGTTCGTAGGATCTGATTCGAAAAGGTGTGGTGGGGGTGAACTCGCAGTCGATGTTGATGTAGGTTGGAATTGGTGCGTCGAGCAATGTCTTTGACCTGTAAAATGTCCGATGATGGCGATCTGGACCAGGCGACAGAACTCAAGGCGGCAACCGTCGATACTTATAGTTTGGCAGTTTCCGTTGAAATCGCACGACAAGGACAAAGCACTCGCTAGCTGGCCCGGCGAGACGGGCAAGGACCAGGTAGGCACAGCGAGGGAGAAGAGCTCAAGGTGGGAGCGGGTGTTCCAAGTCCCTGCTCTGGTTACTAGTGCAAGAAGAAAATATGGCAGTGCCATCTGATAAAAATCAAATCGGCGAGCAACCGGCGGAAGGCCGCCAGCAGAAAGGAGCAAGCAGCAAAAGAAACCAAACAGGCCGGTAGACCGGTACAGTGCAGATGGCACATATCACATTCTGGTGCGGGACTAGCAGAGACCCGGAGGCGTATCAGTGGCAGTTCAGCGATGAACGAAGGTGGCGCGAACCAGGTCGCCAGGATAGGCATGGGCAAGGATGAACGATGGGGATGGATCCTTGAATCACTCAGTTCGAGGGGACAAGGTGGGGTGGACCAGGCCCCATGGTGATGGCTGAAGAATTGTTCATCGGGAACGAACCGTACGTTTGTGTGTGCGTGCGCGTGTGTATGTGTAGGTGTGTGCATGTGTGAGTGAGTTGCGTGTACATGCATCGGGTATCTGTTTCCTTTTGCCTGCCTGTCTGTATGTATGTTTTCCTGGCTTGGCAGAACTTGGTAAAGCCAGCATTTGGGTTTGGGGGGGGGGGGGGGGTGGGGGGGGGGGGGGG